ATAAGAATTGCTTTACTCCACAAAGTGTGGATGTGAATTAAAGAAAACGAAATAATAGCTCAAAAATTAGCAGATGAAAAGAAGGGTATTTTAGGACACAGAATACTTAAATATATAAATCAGAGGGACAGATCTGGGAGCAGAGGTACAAAAAGAGGGGTTAGCCTTGGGAAAGTAGAGAAACAATTCTTCCTTCCAGACAAAGTGGAGAAAATAGAAAAGGTAATTCTAAAAGGATGAAATTTGAGAGAGCTTGTGTTGAATGGCCTGGATTTTCTTAGAAGAGCAAATTTATGTGTAATAAGTAAAAGACAATACCTGCTGCAATAATTTCTTAATTCCGTCATAATCGTTATCCGAGATGGAATAAGCTTCAAATTCAATATTCACTTCCTGTAAATAACACACAAAATAGGTTGTCATACATAACTCTCTAAGATGATTCAGGCATTATTTTTCACTTCGCAGATTTTTCTTTTCCCTCTACCTCCATTCTTTTAGGCACTTTCTCTATCAGATCATCTACCTATGATGCCAGAAAAAGGATAAGAAGAAAATGTTACCTGAAAAACTAAACATCTAGGCTTTAACACAACAAACACCGCCAAGATTGCCATCTGTACAGATTACAAAGAACCTTCATACCATCTCCTCATGTGACACAAAAGCCTGAGAGGAATAAAACACTCAGAGTGACCTAGTTTAAACGTTGAGAAAGTCACAGGAGCCACAAAGGAAAAATCTTTTACCTGACTGCAAAAAGGGTGGGCAAAGAACAAAATCATTTCCAAAGTCCCTGGAATTGCCTAGAGCTTGATTTAGACCATGGATTTGAGGTTGTGCTTCATTCCCATAGCAAATATTTACTGAGTACCACCCCAGCTACCCAGAACTGTGCCAGGCACTGGGGATGAAATGGTGAGCAAAGCAGACAGGAATGATCCTGCTCTCATGGAGCTTATGGTTGAGGAAGGAATATAGATATGAAGGAAATATTCATGGAAATCCATGTAAAATTGCTATTGTACATGCTTTAAAAGTACATGGTGCTGTAACAACTTAAAAAATAAGAAGTCACTTAGGAAAGGCTTCCTTAAGTGACACTTGAGCAGGAAACTGAGGAAAAAAAAGTAGAGGGTTCCTGGCACAGTAACAGCACAAGCTAAGGCCCTGAAGCAAGAGGAAATATGGTGAGTACACAGAAGAAGGTCTGTGTAGCTGGGCTCCCTGATCTATCTCTGTGAAACAACAACAGAATCTAAGAAGATGACAGTGAAATGCCAAAAACAAAACCTGGATGCTTTTAGATGCTACACAAGATCAGTCCTTAAGGACCCTAAATCATAACTTGATAAGATACACTAAACCTGGGGCTCTGATGGAATCGTATATTTAGATGCACTTCAGGTTTTACACATTTTGGAATTTAGGTCTTAGCTGAAGGATGTCATGGAGGAAATCAGACCTGCTTTTTTGCTTTGCCATCCTAACTATGTGTACACTTAAATGCTTAACTGTTAAACTTTGCAGGCCTAGATATCAAGTCCAGCTTGTAGACTTCAAATCCAGACTCTCTAAAGCAGGCTCAGCCAGATTATGAGTAGCAAAATTCCAGGGGTTGGGTGGGAGTGTTCCAAACAGGATCAAACTAAACCAAATAATAAATTATCATTATTCAGGACTTGAATTTATTCCTTACAAATAAATACATTCTTTAAATAATGCTCTTATGTTTTCTCCTTGTCTAGATAGAAGCCGTGGACCTCTGTCCTAGGCTATTATGGCACTACCAATGCAATGGATACCAAACGGATTATTTGTCCAGCACCCCTTTCCCTGGGTATGAGCTCCCCTCCATATGGTTTCAGCAGGAACAGCCATCTTTGTAGAACAGAGCCCTATCACTCACCCCCCCGGTGATTTAGAATTAAGACTGTGGCATCTAGCCTTCCTGCTCTTTTGAATGAAAATTTCAGAAGCTGTTAGCATTTTTGGTTTTCTGCTATATGAAGTAGAAACTGAAAGCAAACCAAATATTTTGAATGCAACAAAGAAGAGTAAAGCAGAGATGTGAAAGACTTCTAGGGTTCTCTGTTGCATTCCAGGCTCACCCAGTCTATTCCTGAGGCTCAGCTGCTTTCTTGCTCTTGGAGATCTATAAGATAATGGTGTATCCTTATCACAAATTTCCCTTTCTGCTGAAGCTATCCTCCAAGGGATTCTATTAAGCATGAAGAATTCTAACCACGTGATCACAAGAATCTTAACTAAACATGCCTATTCCCTTCTCCTTCTCATCTTTCACTATCCCCACCTCTGCTTCTTGAAGTTCCCATAGCCACTTTCTATTGCTGTTCAGCCGGCTGCCTCACCTTGTCCTGTATATCAGGCTCTTTAGGACTTTACATAAACACGCACATTTCCTTATTTACTTATACACCATCTTGCTTCAGAAAAGATCTGAGGCAGATTTTGAATTACCAAAATAATTCTCATGGATTTCTGTATCAGGAAAATGAGTTGTGGATCGGTGAACATCTCAGAAAAGTAAAGCCTCCTTCACATATCTACTAAGTGTTTCAGTATGGGGAACTACCCTAAAAGCCATAACAATTTCTTCAGTCAAAGAAGTCATACATGTCAGGGGTAAAAACTAGAAGTGCAGAGGTTAGAAAGTTTTAAAATCTTATTATTCAGCCATTACTCCTACTCTCTAAAATTTACCATCAAAAGTAAATTATTCTTCCATGACGTTTTCAACACATGCATAATTAAATGTATTTTCTGGTTTTTCTTTTCTCCACATAGAGACTATACATATACATGCTTTCACTTAATCTGCTGTATGGTCTCAATTGTGAAATGGTGGGAATTCCTAACTTCCTAGAGTTGATGTGAGCAATAAATGAGTTAATACAAAATGCATGGAGCCTGAAACAGTATGAATTATTACTATTAATATTGCTGGAGGATAAATTCTTAAAATTAGAATTACTGAATCAGGGGATGAATATATTTTAAACTTTGATAGATATTGTCAAATTACCCCCCCAAAGAGTTTGTACCAATTTATATTCCCACCAACAGTATATGTAAGTGCCTGTTTTCCTACACTACCACCAATGATAGTTATTACACAATTTTTAATCCTTGGCAGTCTGATAAATTTTCCATGTTAATGCACGAAGTATCGATTTCCATAACCCCAGATTAGCAAAATAGCCAAATTTCTTCTAAGTGGAAAATGGTGAGACGGCACTGAAGGCAAGGAGCCAAAGTAAAGAGCTGATTTGTAAGGAAAGATGTAGACACCCACACCACAGTCTCGCCCCTAATCCTGTATCCATGCTCATTCAGACTCACGTTTGTCTCCAGGACTTTATTTCCCATCACTCTCTCTTGCTTATTCTTATCCAGTCATCCTAGCTGCCCTTCTGTCCCTCAACCATGAGGACTTTAGCTTTTCTTATATATGAATAAGGAAGCCAATGGGGCATTCTGAGCAGGGCTGTGAGAACAGACCTTCAAGATCTCTCAGGTTGTAAGTGGAGTAGAGATTGTAGGGGAACGAAAGTGGAAAAGGCATGCCAGTTAAAAGCTATCACAGTAGTCCAGGTAGGACATGATGGGGGTGGGGATTATGATGGACGCAGATCAATGACGAGAAGTGTCTGGATACAGAAGGTAAAGCTAACAGGATTTACTGATGGAGTGGACGTCCTTCCGTGACTGACTAGCCTGTGCCCCCAGCTGGGGATGAGGAAAGCGGAGGAATTACAGTTAACCCCCAGGTTTTGGGTTAGAGCAACTGGTGAATTTAGGGGCCATTTACAGAAATGGTGAAGATTAGAAGGGGGTCATGAATTACAAATTCTGTTTTGGATGAGTTAAATTTGAGATATCTGTTTAGACATTCAGTAGTCGTAAGGATCATTCAATTGTAATTATTCATTCAACAAATAATAAGTGCTTGTACTGCCAGGTACTATGGTAGTAGCTACTCTGAGAAAAAGAACCCAAGTTATATGAGGCCGTAAAGCCAAAAAATCTGACCAGGACCCGGAAAGCCAAAAATACAGTCCAGCTGATATCTGAACAAGAAGGAAAAATTTTGCAGGATGAAGAATAACATTTGAAAAGGCTCTACGGCAGAACGGGGCAGGAAGCCTTCAAAAGGCCAACGCGAGTGAACATGGAACCTGAATGCGCAGGAAAGTTGCTTCAGCTGTGGGGACAGGATCAAGCCTGGAGGCCCTTGTTGACCTATTAGGGCTTTGGGTTTTAGCCTGAGAACTAAAGGGAGCCCTTGGACACTATAACTGGGTCGTGGCGGGCTTTGGGAGGATACCCGGTAGGACTTTAAAAAATAATGACTGTGGCTGCAGTGTAGAAAAGACTGAAGTAGAACCTGAGTAAGAATTTGTCACCTCCAGTTTCTGCCTACAGACCCTCAGCCACAGGGAAGTCACTACTCCACGCAGCTCACACTGTTTTCACACAGCTTTTGGTTGCCAGAAAGTTTTCTTCTCAGTTATAAAGCAAAATGGGGTCGCCTGTGCCTCTCACCTCGTCAACGATCTCGTCGTTCTCATCCTCTTCCTCGTCACTGTTTTCCTCGTCTTCGTCCTCATCCTCAACTTCATCTTCCTCTTCTTCGTCGTCGCGCTGGACTGGGACGCCAGGCGGCCGCAGAATGCCACTCGCCACGGCCCGCCGCTTGCACCTGGACGCCATGTTGCCGCCCACACTGCGCCTGCGCGACCTCCTCTGCCTGACCTTCCGGACCAACCCATATTAGCCATGGGGTGGGAGGCTACGAAGAACCTCGACTAGTACCCCTGCTGGATTCCGCAGCTGGGATCCCACAGAGTTCTGTCCAGCCTGGGGTCCTATCTTGGTCTTTTCTTTCTCCCTCCGTTCTGCTTCATCCCTTCCAAGGCTTTCCCTCCCCTTCGCGCAGTGGTTCGACCCATCTAGCTCAGTCGCCCAGCGCCTCGATGTCGGTGCGCGTGCGCCAGCGCCCAGGTGGGAGCTGCTTGGGTCCCGTGACCCCTGGGCTGAGGTGCGGGACGCCCCGGGGCCCCGCACGGGGAGGGGGCTGTGCACCCTGTTGGCATTGGTCCTGCAGCCTCTGCAGCTTCTTTGCTGGGACTGCGAGATACCGCCCCCCGCCTGGGCGCCTGCCGTGTGCCAGGCGCCGTGCTGGGCACGGTCCCATCTCCGCCCCTCACCAGCCCCGCGAGGTAGGTGCCGCTGCCCGGGTACCAGTGAAAACACTGTCGCCCGCGGGCGTGCAGGGATCTGCCTGCGGTCCCTAGCGATATGTGACAAGATAGGATCGGACCCGGAGACCACTGGTCTGGCCTTGACCGGAAGGTCAGCGGACACGTGCAGATAACCCCACGCCAGCATCAGACCCGACCCCGCGGTGTGTTCCCAAAACAGCTGGGGGCACAGGCTGGTCAGTGATGGAAGGAATCCGATCCGAATCCTTGCCCTAGTTAACCCTCTGACCCAAAATTTGTTTGGGTTTTTTGTTTTTGTTTTGGAGCCAGGTCTTGTGCTGTCGCCCGGGCCAGAGTGCAGTGGCAGATCGGACCTCACCGCAACCTAGAACTGCTGGGCCCAAGCGATCCTCCCGCCTCAGTCTCCCGAGTCACTGGGATTGCAGGTGTGAGCCACCACTGCACCTGGCCTAAAAGCTTTTTAAAGCTGGTTTCGCAACCTTAAATGCTTCAGGGCCATTGGGGTTATCCAAATTAAAGACCTGATCCTATTTTGACAGAATAGAGTGGACAGGCCTGTGACAAAGTAGAGTATGTACATGCCTCAGCTGCCACTAGTTGTGACCAAATGGAAATACTGGCCCAGTGTTGTCAGATCTTTCCATTTCAGGAGGAGCTGGAGTTCTGGATTTTTACAAGAAACATCTTGATTTTTAAAATCTGTGCCAAATAAAATGCATCTGCCAGTCAGGTTTTATTCCACAGGCTACCAATTTTTAGCCTGCTGTAAAGACTTTAATTTGGAAGGAAAATCGTTGATTAGAGAAGACACCAGTTTTCTGGGAATGAGATCTATGGTTCTACATTTTTTTCCTCTGTGCAGTGAAGGGAGTGGATTGGATATGTTTGATTATAAAAATGGAATGAGCTGCCCCTAGTCGTGAGGTGGCCATCACTGAAGAGGTTTAAACAGCAGTGTGGTAACATCTTATGAATCAGTAATCCTTCATCAGTAGATGTAGAGTCAGGGCACTGTAAAGGGCCCATTAGCCCAGAGCCCCCATGATTGTGTTCCATGAGTTCCATCTTTCCTGAAAGTCTCTTGTCTACCAGGCCATGTCATGTACATTAATATGCTTACTGAAAGGGTAGAAATTTACTAGGTGCTCACCACAGGAAGAGAAAGAATTCTCAGACCATGTTTAGGATAAAATGAAGTACAAAGTTTATTTTCCTGGGAAAGAAAGGAGGAAAGGAAGAGAAAAGGAGGGAATGGCCAAAGAGGAAGGAAAGGAAGTGCTAGGCAGCGAGGCCAAGGGCTTGGTGTTTTTAAAGGGTAAAAATGGCTTTTTTTCCCCCCTCCACTTTAGCAGCCTGATAACAGAAGCAGCAGCAAAGCTGCTGTAGGTGTTCTTTTTTTTTTTTTTTTTCTTCTCTCCACGAGGCTGGGTTATCTGAGTCCTTGAAATCTGATTTTTTGGCAGGTACTGAGGCAGAGAGCTGGAGCAGGGAGTTTGCACCCTACTGTCTGCTTAGGGCTCTTGAAGGCTGAGAAAGAACATGGGGGTCTGTATCCCAGAGCCTAGATCCATGGCACAGACATGGTGGGGGCTGAGTGGAGCTCTGGATTGCCTGCTTCCAACAGCATCATGCTCGGCTCTTTCATCCCCACACTAGTTGCTTGCTTTGTGTGCCACAAAAGGATCCATGCCTTAGCAGAAAATCCATTTTACCTACCACTCAGTGACATACAAGATTCCTGGAGCCCTCAAATTGGAAAGTGTATTAGTTAGAATTCAATCAGAGAAACAGAACCAGTAAGAGATATATGTTAGGAAATTTATTGTGAGGAACTGGCTTGAGCAACTGTGGGTGCTGGCAAGGCAAGTCTGAATCTATAGTGTAAGCCAATAAGGAGGGTAGGCCCACAGGAAGGGCAGGCTGGGGTTCAGCAGAGGCTGAAGCTTTGTCCACAGATAGAATCGCCTCTTCCTCAGGGAAGCCTCAGTTCTGCTCTTATTAAGGATTTTGAACTGATTGAATCAGGGCCACCCAGATTACCTAGGATAATCTCCCTTAAAGCTAGTCGATGGCAGACTTTATTGTATCTCCAAAATACCTTCCCAGCAACATCTAGATTAGTGTTTATAAAAACTGGGGACTATAGCCTAGTCAAGGTGACACAAAAGTGACCATTGCAGAAGGGTAGGCTTCTAAATTCTGTGTGAGACACATTTTGAATAACTTCAGGAAATGATAGGAACCATATTTCCCATTTCCCCAAATCCCCAATCTCTCTAGCTAACACCTTGACAGCAGCAATAATTAGAACTTAATTTCATAATTATTATTTATTCACCCAGGTTTTATTGCTTAGATACAAAGCAGTTCATTTTGGGCCAGATTTTCCTAAAATGTTCCATAGATACTGTAATATTCCAGAAATATATTCAGGAGTAACTTATAAGTAATGAAGTTAACACATTTCTGCTTCAAACAATGTATTCTGTTGACTCTTATCAACCACTGCAAAAAAGAAGAAACCAAGATCAGAGCAGAACTAAATGAAATTGATAACAAAAAAATTATAGGGAAGATTAATAAAACAAAAAATTGGTTATTTGAAAAGATAAACAACATTGACAGGCCTCTCACTAGATTAACCAGAATCAGAAAAGAAAGGACTCTAATAAGCTTAATCAGTAATGAAAAAGGAGAAATTACAACTGATAACACAGAAATACAAAGTATCATCTATGAGTACTCTAAAAACCTCTACACATGTAAACTTGAAAACGTGGAGGAAATGGACAAATTCTTAGAAGCAGACAGACTCCCTAGGCTCAGTAAGGAAGAAACAGAATTCCTGAACAGACCAATATCAAGTACCAAAATGGAAGCAGCAATTAAAAACCTTCCTAAAAAAAAAAAGTCCTAGACCAGATGGTTTCACATCCAAATTTTACCAGACCTACAAAGAAGAACTGGTGCCTATTCTGCAGAAATTATTCCACATCAAGAAGGAAGGAATCTTCCCCAACAAGTTTCATGAAGCCAACATCACCCTGATACCTCAAGCAGCACCATACTGAATGGGGAAAAATTGAAAGCATTCCTGCTTAGAACTAGCACCAGAAAGGACTCAACAAAAATAAATAAATAAAACTACAGGCCAATATCTCTTACGAATATAGATGCAAAAGTTCTCAATAAAATCCTGGCAAACTGAATTCAGGTGCTTATCAAAAAAATAATCCATCACAACCAAGTGGCTTCATCCCAGAGATGTAGGGATGGTTCAACATACGGAAATCTATAAATGTAATTCATCATATAAATGGAAGTAAAAACAAAGACCATGTGATCCTCTCAATAGATGCAAAAAAAGCATTCAACAAAATTCAGTACCCTTTTATCATAAGAACACTTAACAAAATAGGCATAAATGGGACTTACCTTAAAATTATAAAAATCACATATGACAAACCCTTAGCCAGTATCATACTGAATGGGGAAAAATTGAAAGCATTCCCACTTAGAACTAGAACCAGAGAAGGTTGTCTTATATCACCACTTCTGTTCAACGTAGTGCTGTAAGTCCTAGCCAGAGCAATCAGATAAAAGAAGGAAAACAAGGGCATGCAAATGGGGGAAGAAGAGGTCAAACTACCACTCTTTGCTGACAATATGATTTTATATCTAGAAAACCCCAAAGATTCTGCCATGAGACTACTGGAATTGATAAATTCAGCAAAGTCTAAGGTTACAAAATCAACATACACAAATCAGTAGCATTCATATATGCCAACAACAAACAGAGAACCAAATCAAAGACCCAATACCTTTCCACAATAGCAACAAAGAAAATAAAATACCTAGGGATAAATTTAAGGAGGTGAAAGACCTCTACAGGGAGAACTACAAAACACTGAGGAAGGAAATAGCAGAGGACGTAAACAGATGGAAAACCATACCATGCTCATGGATTGGCAGAATCAACACACTGCTGATGGGACTGCAAACTAGTACAATCTCTATGGAAATTAATATGGAGATACCTCAAAGAACTCAAAGTAGAACTACCATTTGATCCAGCAATTCTACTAGTGGATATCTGCCCAAAAGATAAAAAGACATTCTATAAAAAAGACATCTACACTCGGAGGTTCATAGCAGCACAATTCACAATTGCAAAGATGCAGAAACAACCCAAGTGCCCATCAATATATGAGTGGATTAATAAAATGTGGTATATGTATACCATGGAGTACTGCACAGCCACAAAAAATGGTGAACTTGTATTATCCTGGATGGAGCTGTAGCTCATTCTTCTAAGTGAAGTATCACAGGAATGGAAAAACAAGTGCCACATGTACTCACCATTAAATTGATACTGTAATAATTGATGAACACTTATGTGTACATATGGAAGTAACATTCATAGGGCACTGGGCAGGTGGGAGAGGAGAGAAGGGAATGGATGAATTCACACCAAAGGGGTACAGTGCATGATGTCTGGGGGTTGAGCACACTTGTAGCTCCAACTTGGGTGGTGCAAAGACAATATATGTAACCAAAGCGTTTATACACCTGTAATATTCTGAAATTTGAAAAAAGGACATTAAAATAAAAAACCACTGCATAATATTTATTAAGTAACTAACTGGTGGGTCTAATGCCATTTATGGGGTAATCTGCATCTCAAGCAGATTTATTCTGAAGTTCCTCAAGAGGATTTATTTTGAGGCCTTTGGGATGGTTATAATGTGCTTTTCCCCCTTTGAAATAAGAGGTTTATAATGTTCATTGTAAAAAAAATTTGTAGAATACTGAAAGAGGTAAAGAAGAAGATAATAATCCTAAGCTACCACTCAAATAATTACTATTAATATTTTGATACATATCCTTTTGTGTCTATATAATCTATAAAATCATACTACTTATGTAATTCTGAATCCTGTTTTTTTCTTAAGATTATTTCGTGATTGATCCATGTAATTAAGTTATTTGTGAATATTTTAATGATTTCATATGACTGTACCATGATTTATTTAACCATTCTCTCATTGTTGAATGTTTACATTATTTCCAATCATTTGTAATTCTAAAGAATACCAGAGTGAACATCTTTATGTTAAATCTTTGTACACATTTATGAATGTTGCCTTAGTATTTATTCTTAGAAGTGAAATTATAGGAAGAAAGTATGAAGCGTATAAGGCTTTTGATACATGTTGACAAGTTGTTTTCCAGGTTTTTAGATTATCTGGTGATACTTGACAACATTTAGAAAACATTATTTGAGAAATGGCATAGTCAATATAATTATTTCCTAAAGTCTTATGAGCTACTTAGTATATTTATCTTGAAATGGAAATAATTATTTGTCTCTTTAAAATATAAGATACCCGTTTCTCTATTTGCTGTTGACACAACCCAGAATTTGCACCTGTTCTTTTTTCTAAGCCACAAATGTGTAGGACACTTCACTTTCACTAATGGCTTTCATCTGCCTCTCCAAGCGATATCAACTGCTAACATGCTCTCCCTTGGCCTTATCAGTGACAAGGGTCTTCAGAAAGAACAAGCCCATTAGTGCTAAGTCATGGTGTAGGAGGGATAGGTCTCTTCAGCAAGCAATTAATTACCTTCTTCTTGTGCTCCCTCCCCATCCAACATTGCTTAGGAAGTGTCTTTGAGATCTAATTAAGATCTGTTTCCTTGCTCTGTCACAGCACCCTATAAGGACTACCAGGCAACAATGAAGGTTCTTTTACTGAAAGATGCTAAGGAAGATGATGGTGGCCAGGATCCATATATCAGGGTAAGTGGCCTGTGACTCCCTTGTCCCATAAAACACATAGCATCCTTACTAATGGAGTCAAGGGGGCTGGAGCTGGAGCTGGCAGGGGAGGGTTCTGTGAAAACTCAGAGGAACTGACACAGAATAAATTGTGATATCATGACCCTTATTTTCAGTACAGCCCTGGCCAATCCAGAACTATATTCTTTCATTTTCAGGAATTAGGATTACATGGACTTGAAGCCACTTTGATTCCTGTTTTATCATTTGAGTTTTTGTCTCTTCCCAGTTTCTCTGAGAAGGTAAGGCCTGTCTGTCTGAGCACCAGGTTAGTGTTTGGATTCTGTAGAATGCTTGCCCGCCCAAGCCAGAAAGACTATTTTACTACCCTATTATTTTTTTTTTGTTAACCAAACTTTAAAACAAAGACAGCACAACCTTACCTGGCTCCAGGAGACTGCTGCTGCTGCTATTCTTTGGCTGAGCTTCTACCAGCTCGTCCAGAAAGCCACCCAGATCTGGAGATCAGAGCCCAGAAGAGCAGGTCATGGTGAGAGCACCAAACCTGCATTGCTCTCAGCAGTCCTAGAACCCTTTCATTCATCCTCTCATTTAATTTACCCCACCCCCAATCTCTGCAAAGCAGGCCAGACAGGTGTGCTTTTCCCATGTTGGAGATTGGGGCCCCAGGTTAGGCAACGCAGTCAAGGCCTCCAGCAGGTGAGAGACAGGGCTGGTACTCAAACTCAGAGCTTCTGCCCACGACTTCAGTTATGCTTCCAGTGTAAGAGTGACAGATATTGCAGGAGACAAGCCCAGTAAAGCCTTCCAAATGTTTCATATTAAAGATTCAGTGTCCACAGCTTCAGTGAAGGCAGATGCATACAACAGCTCCATGCCTGGCTCAGAATAAATGTTCAGTAGGTGACATCACCATTATTATCTTTGAAAATCCAGACTTCAGCATGGATATCACCTCCTGAATAGTCCAGTGTTATTAAAGATGCAGGTCAAGTCTACCCTCCTGCCTGCACCCCACCCAATCCCAGGTTGAGCCAGGCTTCCCCTCTTGGCTGTAGTGACACTTACTACCCTGTGTCTATCTCTTCCCTAGACTATGAGCTTCCTGAGGGAAATGCTATGAATAATGAATTCACCTGTGTAGCCTAAAAGGCCTAGAATAAATAGTTCTAGCACTCAATAAGTGATGGGTAGATGGATGGAAAGAATTAGTTTGCCTGTGACTTTGGTGAAGCATTTGGGGTCATAGCTCCTTGGGAGATGTTGAACTTGGCCATCATATAAAATATCTTTATTGCTTTTTGGTGTGCAGCTGTCTCATCCTGAAGGTTACGGAGGACTCATTTTTACCAGCCCCAGAGCAGTGGAAGCAATGGAGTTGTGTTTGGAGAAAGACAATAAAACAGAAGGTGAGGGTAGGTCTGCTGTGAATTCCACTACACTTGTGTTTACTCTTATTTTTCCTGCTGGGACACTAGATTCTAGAAACAGCTACGTTTCTAACAGGACTGGGTGCTTAGTGATGTCAGCTCACAGATACTTTTTTGGGAAACAGGTGACGGAGCTGCCTCCTAAACTCCCAGACAGATGTCACTGGGGGAGAGTCTTAAATGTTCACCTGCTGGGCATTCATATCTCCCCTTAGAATATATCAGGCACCTCTTCCTCTGAAAATAGGATACATACCAGTTTCCTCAAAGGGTTGGTGAGGAAATACAACAATCTATGAAAATGATCAGTGCCATGGCTGGCGCTTAGGGATGTAGTCATCTCTTTGACCCTTCAGCCCACCTCCTTCCTTCTCCATCAAAACAGTATGAAAATGGCACTGCCCGTTGACAGGACCCCGGGTTTCAGACTGAACCACCTTCTTAATCAACACGATTGAACAGCTTACTAGCTAACATTTATGGAGTGCCTGTATACATCAGACTCTGTGTTAAATACTTCACCTTTATTACCTCATTTAACCCTGGATGAAAATCCAGAGGCACACGTACTATGATCTCTTGTTACCGTTGATAAAGCGGAGGCTGGGAAGAGTAAGCACCTGTCGAAGGCCACAGAACCAGTCAGTGCGGAGCCAGGCTTCAAACCCAGGCCAGCTGCCTACACAGTTACACTCACACGCAGGGGCAGCAGGGAGAGGGGTTGCCAGAGAGCTGTGGGGAGAGTTAGTCCTGGGCTCATGCAGCCACTCTGACCTGGGCAAGTTCCTTAACCTCTCTGAGCCTCAGTTTCCTTGTCTTTAAAGTGGAGGTAATAACACCTGTGATTATTACTTCTGTTAGCTAAGTGGAACTTACTGAGTGCTGCCCACCGTGTGCCAGACACCGTCCCGAATGCGTCATCCTGTGGGGTAGGTACGGTTAGTATTTCCGCTTGGCGGATGAGGGCCTGAAGAAGAGGGTATTGAACTCTCCAAGACCACACAGTCTGCAAGTCGCAGGTTTGTGATTCAAGCATCTGGGACGTTGCCTGGACCAGAGTAGGCACCGAGTAAGGGACGGTGGCGAGTGGTTATTCTCTTTCTTCACATTTAACGAGGCTTCATCACAGCCTAAATCTATCACCTTCTTGGTGATGTCATACACACATTCACCGCCTGTTGAAGAGAAAGTCTGATATTTTTCTTGGAAAAGGGTTTATTCACAGGCTATGGATAATTTTTTAATAAATAATGTATTTGTGGGGTAAGAAAGAAAGCAAAACTCAATCTTTGGTAACTGTTTAAAGGGAGTTTCCCTATGACAGTAAAAGGTAGAGTAATACTATTGAATTTAAGGGAAAGTTATGTTCATAATCAGATTTTAGGAAAGAAGAATTAATGTTTCTTTGTCTTTTGAAAATGTATTGAATGCCCAGTGGCCTCGTGATATATTTATACAATCCATTTTCTCTTTAATTTTTCTGTAATTCGTATTTAAAGATTTTTTTTGGTCATAAAGTGGTAGTATTCTGCATTAAATTGTGTTTGTTAATGAACCTGAAATTTATTATTTCTACTTTGACCTAATGGATAAATGAGCCCCCTCAACTGAGATTACAGTTTGTTGACTGCTTTCAGATTTACGTCCCAAATAAAACCAATTGTGTTTCTTTATTAGACACATTTTTTAATGATCAGTGACTTTTCTTTAAAAGTCTAGATTTTTAAATTTTAATGTCATGATGCAAATTAATTCTTCAAGTTATGTTTGTTTTTTAGTATACGTTAAAAATGCTGCTAGTACATATTAAAAATTTTCCATAGTACCAGCTGTGGAAATGAGTTAATATTTCAAGCAAGGCATACTGAAACATTTACCAAAGAGATTTTTAAAAATTTGCCTGCAAAATATGAACAATATGAAAATGGAATTTTAGTTTGAGGTGTTATTCTTTACATTTGGTTATTAATAATTTGCTTTGCTTTCTTAGGATGAACAAGCAACCTTGGGCAACAATCGAAATGGCCACTTTGGTATTTACAACTCTCATATATTTTCATGTTTTACAGTCTGGGAAAAGTCTCTGAAAGAAAAATGGAATGCTAAGTCAGTGTATGTTGTTGGGAACGCTACTGCTTCTCTAGGTAAGGAATCAAGGTAAAAATGAAACATCAAAAAATGGTGTAGCCCCATTTGCTTTTTTTAAACACTTTAATTCTGTATAAAAATATATTTTGCCTATTAAATTTGCAAAAATTAATTAGTTAAATATATAATTGATAAGAGTGCAATGAAACAAGTATATTCAAACATTGCCAAATGGCATTAAAAATTGGTTTACATCTTTTGAGAAATGTTTGGTCAGTGTATATTCAAGAACTTTCTTAAAATGTTTGTACTCTTTGGCCCACTAATCCCATTGTTAATATTGTTTTTTTTTTTTTTTTTTTTTGAGACAGAGTCTCACTGTGTTGCCTGGGCTAGAGTGCCATGGCATCATCCTAGCTCACAGCAACCTCAAACTCCTGGGCTCAAGCAAGCCTCCTGCCTCAGCCTCCCGAGTAGCTGGGACTACAGGCATGCGCCACCATGCCCGGCTAATTTTTTCTATATATTTTTAGTTGTCCGATTAATTTCTTTCTAATTTTAGTAGAGACAGGGTCTCGCTCTTGCTCAGGCTGGTTTCGAACTCCTTAGCTCAAACAATCCGCCCGCCTCGGCCTCCCAGAGAGCTAGGATTACAGGTGTGAGCCACCGCGCCCGGCCCCATTGTTAATATTCTTAATGCCACTGGATTATACACTTAAATGATTAAAATGGTAAAGTTTTATGTTACATATTTTACTATCACTTTTAAAAAACCTAAATCTCCATATGGTGCTATTATAGTTTTTATAGCTTCTTAATATTTTCTACATTTTTCCAAATAGTCTTGAATTTATATATTCTTTTTAAGCATAAAATGTGAATAATGAATCATTAAAAATTAACATTAAACATTATAAATACTTAAAACAATGCCTAGCAATTGTGAATAAAGTAACCTGTAACTTTGTTTCAAAATGGTTCAACTTGTCCAAATGAATTTCAAAATATTGAGAGAGGGTGTAATATGAGAGAAGATAGTTCAAAAATTAAAAGCACATTTTGCAGCGAACACAACGAGATTGGGGACCGGTTGGGAGTTGCGAGGCTGATGAAGGGATGATGCCTGGCTCTTCTGCAGAGCATGACTTTTTCCACAAGCTCAGCAGATCAGCCAGGGAGAGGGAGTCAGCGGCTTGTTTGCCAAGGGAACCACCTCCACTCCTGCACATCTCCCCCCAAAAGTAAGAATTTGCTTGTACTTTCCTTTACCATTTTTTTTCTGAATGAGAAAAGGAAAGAATATAGGCAATTTCTGACTAACATACCAAAAATTCAACTATCAACTATATAGTATATTTGTAAATTTTCCTAGCTTTCAAATACGAGCTGATAAAAGATCATTTTGAGCTATCACACACCCTGCAGTTTGATTTCAGCAGCATCACTCTGCAATTTGCTGTCACTGTTCTGTCAAATGAGAAGAAAACTAGAAAAAAGACCATGGTGATACAATTGTGGGAATCTATGTCTTGAAACTCAGAGGAGTAGCTGGGAGTGGAGCGTCATCAAGGCAGCACAAGCAGCAGAGCTCTGGTCTCAGCTGGGCACTCGCTGGACTCAGGCTGGTCCCTGTTTATTCAGTTGTGAAGGAAAAGGACATGTTCTAAATGCTGGGAACATCTTATCAAAGGAGAGATGAAATTAGGCATTTCACAACTTTTAAAAATCTCTTTGAGAGGAAACCACATTCTTCCTTAACATGAACGTGAGTCACCCAACTCTGAACATTCTATTAGTTCACTTTTTCAGACACAATGTGCAAAGGAGTTCTCTTTAGTGGGTACGGGGAGGAGGCATTGCTCGCACTTGAACTCCCTGAGGTTTCTATTCATCTAGAGTCTCAGCAGGGGCTGGAGAGTTAGAGGAAGTTGAGCACCAGCAGGTGGAAGGAGACCAGGCTCAGTGTACTAGTCATCTTTTGCTGTGTAAGAAATTACCCCAAAACTTAGTGACTAGAAAGAAGCATTTATTATCTCACTGTTTATATAGGCCAGAAATCTGGGCATGGCTTAGTTGGGTTCTTCCGGCTCAGGGCTGTTACCAGGCTACAGTCGAGCTGGTGGCCAGGGCTGCACACATCCTGAGACTCGGGCAGGGTCTACTTCCAAAATCACTCACATGGCTGTCAGCAGGCCCCAGAAGATCTGTTTCTCAGCTCACTCGCATGGCCGCTGGACAGGGCCACCTGAGTCTGGCAGTTAGCTTCCCCTCTCAGGAGGTTATCCAAGAGAGAGCAAAAGAGAGCACCCGTGACAGAAGCCACAGTCTTTTTATAACCTAATCTCAGAAATGACATCCCATCACTTCTGCCATCTTCTTTTCATTTGAATCTCGTCAGTTAGTCCAGCCCACATGTGAGTGGGGCACGGCACAGGGGCGTGGCTCCCAGGGTCACTGGGTGCTGCCTTGGATCACCCGGGAGCCCGCTGGCTGAGAGCCTGCCTGGCTTCTCAGAGCCTGTGGACCAGGTCAGGAGAAGCAAAGAGAAGAAAAGGTAGGCATTTTCCTCAAAATAGTAATGAACAGGATCCAGTGAACATCAAGAAGTCTCACTGTGGAAATCTAGTCGGAGAAGACGTCTGTGTTTCTTCATAAATGTTGCACCTTGACTTACACCTTTGCAGATATTATTGATGACTAATAGATGGAGAAGAGTACATGCTGTAGTATTTGTACAATACGTCCTCAGTCTTTACTTAGGGAAGGCCCTTAAGATGGGCTCACTCAGGCTGGAGTGTTGGTTGACATGCTTGTACTGACTTGGAGCGGAGTCTCTCTGGCCGCAAGCAGGAGCTGAGACCTTAGACCAACATGTATTCCCCAGGACCACACATTTCTTGAGAGCCTTTTGTGGGTTTCGGGGTGGACCAGATAGCCCCAGGCAGTCAGAGTTGGCCACAGTTCATCCACTCACACCTCAGCTGCCTCCTCTCAAGTGCAGCGTAATTGTCTTCTCATGGGGTTGTAGCGTAAGGATCAAATGAACAAGGGCCTATTTTGTGATCAGCAGAGCTATATATGAAGTTAGTTCTTGGGTATGGTTCCTGTTGTCTCATCACTTAGGAAAAATGCATATGAATGCATTTTAATGTGAATATTAATAACCTGCCTCACTGCAAGTTCTTATGTCTCAGTTCAGTTCCTGCAGGTTTTTCAGGGTTCTTTGGTGCATTTCAGCCTTCTGAACTCAAAAACAGAGTAGGGGAAGCCCAGCCTGGTTGGCACTGCAGCATAAGCGAGAGTTAAGTTCCTGAACAAAGTTTACAACTGCATGGGACATCTTTCTCTTTCACTCAGCACATTTTTGATGATATGTAAATTAAAAGCCGGTGATATTTTTATTAAAGCTTTCGTTTGTTACTAGCCAGCCTCTTGTGTGAGTCCTAAATGGAACTCCTACAACCCCTCTTTCCTCACAGAAGGTCCACATTCCTGTGAGCAGGTAGCAGTGCTAACTGAGCCGGCCCCCGGGCCCTTCCTTCATTAACACCCTCTGCAGAGTGGCCAGGTGTTCACTGTTTGGAGAAGTACAGGGGAGCCTGGGTCTGTCTGCTTCTTCCTCAGCTCATGAATAGGCGTCTCACGAAAGGGGCTGGTGTAGCCCTTCGCTGTAAATGGTGTGCATTTGTAATGCTGTGGGTCCCTGCTGGCAGATTGTTATGAAACCTTTCCTCCCCTCCCTTGCATTTTAGTCTAGGCACATCGACCCATGACATCTTGCTGGATGTGGTCTGGCCTTGTCTCCCTAACAGAATGAGGGCTCTCTACTGCAGACTCCTGCAAAAAGTAGTAGATCCCACGTGCTCACCATCTCCTGACTGTTAAGAAAACAGCCTTTACTGAGCTCCTAGATGGCAAGCAATTTGCTCTCGTTGTCTCACATGGCCCTCAAACCAGTCCCACATGGTTAGTGTTTTCCCCTCTTATAGATGAGCTACGCAGAGCTCAGAGAAGCTAGCTAAGGCCTCACCCAAAGCCACACGTGGGGGCGGGGACAGGACCCGGTGCCTTCTCTCTGAATGGACACCTGTGAGCTTCCTGCGCCGGCTTTCAGGAGGGACTTTCTCTGTGTGCTTTGTAAAGTGTGTGCCTGTGTATCTGCACATTAAAAAACCACACTGGAACAAAAGGACTTCAATAACTGTGTAAAGAAATACATTTCTTTGTTGTTTTCCAGTGAGTAAAATTGGCCTGGATACAGAAGGAGAAAAGTGCGGAAATGCAGAAAAGCTTGCCGAATATATTTGTTCCAGTAAGTAGAAAAAGACCACCCTAAATGAAGCCCATTTATTTTTTGTTTATTGATCTCACAACCACTACCCAGGGAAAAGAATATTTCCGCAGTGCATTCTTGGTGGTGAGATTGATTGGTGAGCAGCATATAACACACTCTGGGACCATAACGCGTGCGCTTGTTTGAGGCTTAGCCCACCTCCTTCTACCCGCTATACCAAAGAAATTGAGGTAACTTGAATGCAACACAAAACAAAACGTTTGTAGATAAAACCAGAGGAGAGCCGACCTGAAGCGATTCTACAGAGGGCAGAGGCAGGAAGTGCTGCTGGTCACTCTCCCCTCCTGCATGTTGTCTTTTCCACTCTTCTTAGGAGCTGCTTCCTTCTCTGAATTCCTTCCCCAGAAACTTGCTCCCTGGTAAAGAGCTGACTCACCTGATAAGCTCATCATTGGGCTACACATGGACCCAGCCTTAAAACGGCTCTGGTTCTAGGGATGTTTGTATTTAAACAGGGACTACGTCTTCATGGAATTTTAGGCTTTGGAAGAATATTTGGGCAAAGATTTTTAGAGCAGAGATTTTGGAGAGAGAGGGCTGGGAAAGCTGACTGGGCACATGAAGGGCAGTCAGTCCCACGTAGTCTAGGGTGCATCTCCCATCTTCTCTCTTCCCCACGTGTTCAGTCCAACTGCAGGCACAGGCTCTTGCACTCTTGTCATTTGACCCCTCCCTGCTATAGGTGTAATGTCATACATGAGAGAATGAAGCAGCAACATCTTGCATTATATTAATATTACTGAAGAGGAAATCAAGGCCTCTTGACGAGGAGCTGGCCAACTTCATCTGTTAAGGTCTAGGTATTTTAGGCTTTGCAGGCAAATGGTCTGTCAAAACTCCTAAGCTCTGCAGTGGTAGCAGGAGAGCAGCCGTAGACCATGCAAACGGTGGGCTTGGCTCTGGCCCAGAGCTGTAACGCACGGATCCCTTTCTAGAACTGCCTGGGTGTCTGCTGAGCTGGGAGGCAGAGACCGGATGGACTGCTGACCACTGAGGTTTTCCTCTAAGGTGGTCCCGGGAGAGGGGCATATTCCTTGCCCCCCGGGGTAGCGATATCAGGGCGGGTAGGGAGAGAGAATACATTAAATGAGTCTTTTTATGGCTTCTGAAACAGTGATGGGTGGTTTTGTTTTTAGGCAAAACAAAATATGTGTGTTAAAAAATATTCCTTCTCAGGGTGGTCTTGGCCATTCTTGATCTGTAAACTTGTGCACTAAAGTCTTACGAGGTCTTCCCGCCGTAGCCATTGCTGTTGGCTGAAGGTTCTCTCGCTTGTATTTTTCTGGGAGCCCGTCCTGGGGAATGTCCTCTGCATCTCCACTGCACTGCGGCCTGGGGGTCCCTGCAGCTCAGGCCACAGCAGAGCAGTCTGCAGGACAGGGGTGGCAGGCAGTCACATGCACTGTTGGACTCAGTGTGTCCTTCCGAAGCTTCCCAATTCTCTTATTTTTTTCCCCCAATTTTCTTTTAAAAATAATTTCATTTTACCTTTCCTGGGTCACTACACGCTCTGTGTTAACGTTGAAAACTGGCGCTTACTGAGCACTCTGTGTGCCCCAGATCCTTAGGCACTTGGCCTGCATCATCTCATTTCACTGTCACCACCACCCTGTGAAGTCAGAGTCATCTCCACTGCAAGCTGTGCTGTCCAGTATGGGAGCCACTGGCCACATATGGCTATTCACATTTAAATTTAAGTTAATTAAAATTAAATTGAAAATTCAGTTTCCAGTTACAGTGGGCACATTTCACAGCCTGGTTGTCAGTTGTGGCTAATGGCAACACATTGGACAGCACAGAACATTCCCGTCATCGCCTAAAGTTCTTTCTGTGCTGTGAGAGAGGCTCTGGGGGAACAAGTGACAGATCACAAGCTATGGAGCAGCAGGTTGGAGTTCAGACTTGGCACTGCAAGGCTATCGCCTTCCCTTGGCCCTCACGGTCAGCGAACCTGGCCTCAAGGACCTGCTGGCCAAGCACCTCCTTCCACTCAGATTGGGGATCTCACAGGGGGTGGGGGGTATGTGTGCCTGACTCTGGTGGGCAGAGACTCGAGAGGCCTCCGGCTTTGAAGAGCTACTTGGACCTTTTCTGCTCACTCAGAGGAATAAGCTGTAGTCACAGAGTGGATTCGCCATTCCGAAACCCCAAGCCTGTGCTCTCCTGAGCTCAGTGGATGTGCATCCATTGGCTTAGACAGGCCTTTTGGGCACTTATGCATTCTTTGACACCTCTGTTGTCCCACCCCCATGTTCCCTCCATGTCGCAGGAGAATATGGTTCAGCAGACATTTGCCCAGGAACACCTGTGTGCCTGGCCCTTGCAGGGTATGGGGGCTGGAGAGGGCCCAGCTCCATTCCAGCCTGCTGGGAGCTCCCAGCTTAGCTGGGGCTGGGGGTGGGGGACACAGACATCAGTGACCATCATGAGGCAGGGTGGATTAAGTGACAAGAAGAGGTATAAACAGCTTGTGTATAGTAGGCCAACTAATAGGATCTGTTTCAACCCGCAGAACGCTTCTGACACCAAATGTGTGGGCTTTTCCTCACACCGGCGCTCCAGATCCCAGCTGGGTATCCTACAGCTTAATTGAATTCTGACACTACCCAGACTTAGCACAGACCCACGGTTTAAGGGCCCAGGCTTACAAGACTGCCCCCCACTTCAGATGCACGTATTGCGTGCCCAGGGTACCCACATTCTATCCAACTTGGCTATAAATTGGGGGTTCCCACGGCCCCACCTCAGGATCAATCATTTGCCAGAATGGCTCACACAACTCAGGGAAGCACTTTACTTACGTTACTGGTTTACCATAAAGGATATAAGGGTGCAGATGAACAGGGAGATGAAGACGTACCTGGGGCGAGATCCACAAGGGTCCCGAGCACAGGAGCCTCTGTCGCTGTGGAGTTGGGTGTGCCGCCCTCCTGGCATACGGAAGCATTCACAAACCCCGAAGCTCTCCAAATTCATAGCGTAGGCTCCGTTATGTAGGCACAGCTGATTGAATCCTTGACCACTGGTGATTAACTCAATCTTCAGCCCCTCCCTTTCCCCAGAGGTCAGGGAGTGGGGCTGAAAGTTGCAACCCTCTAATCACACGGTCGGTTCCTCTGTCCGCCAGCCCCATCCTGCAGCTATCTAGGGCCACCACGAGTCCCCTCGTTAGCATAAACTGCTGTATGGTTAAAGGAGTTCATTGCGAATAACCAAACACGCTCCTCTTACCCCTATCACTCAGGAAATCCCAAGGGTGTTAGAAGCTGCGTCAGGAACAGGGATGAAGACCAAACACTTACTCCCTACTGTGTCACAGTGTCACAGGTGGGCGGTGAGGGGTGTCCCAAAGAAGGTAAAGGTCTTCAGGAAAGTTTATATAAAAGGATCACACCCGTGGCATCCTAACCACAGAGGGGCTGTGTTTAAGAGGACTCTCTAGGAAGGACAGGGCCTCCTCAGGCAGTAGCCGTGGCCAATCCCTCCCAGTCGGAGGGAGGCCCTGAGCAGAGAAGGTGGGAGGGGAGGCTGGAGGGGGTGTGCTGGGAGCAGCCGTCACCAGGAACCCTGCAGCCTTGCTAAGCTCCCGCGTGTCTAGACACAGGCTGGAGTGGTTGTCCTCAGGCCTGAGGCAGGACCACTTGGCTGCCCGCTCCCTCTCTGGCACCAGCCAGGCCACCACTAGCTTTGGTCAGGATTGGGCCCAAAAGAGAGTCACTAGTTTAGGACCCAGTTCTACTGTTCCTGGGACTTTGCGAGCGTGTCTCAGAAACTTATCCCTTAAGTAAAAAGATCATTTTTTAAAACTTACATCACACCTGAGAGAAGAACAGAGCAGGGCCTGGATGTTGTGCTTGGGCCTGCCTTGAAGGGGGCTTCCATCCCACAGCCCACCTCGCCCAGGGCTGGCCCTGGGGGCTCCGCGAGTATTGCGGAAATCCCAGTGAGAACCTCCCTTGTTGGATATTATAAGGAGGTAGAGGCCTGTTACGTGCTCAGGATACGCAGGCATTTTGTGCATGTTGTCTCTAATTGCCTAACGTGTTGTCATACTGAGCCGTGACTGGGGACGATCATTAGACCTGCTGTCACTGACGAAGAAACTGAGCTCAGAGAGGGCGTGACTTGTCCAAAGGAACAGAGCTAATAGGCGCTGGGCTGGGTCTCAAGCCCAGGACTGGCTGACTCCAAAGCTCTTCCTAGTTCCCTTTTTCTGTGTGCTCCTAGAAATTACTTAGTCCAAAATATGTTCAATTCTTTTCCATCAGGTGAAGAAGTCAGAGGAGTATTTTGAAGTGAAGAAAGTGGGTTCTAAGACTTTGATTTGTAGATTTGGACATATCCTTGTGTTGATGAGTCCGTGTGGTACTGTCTGGGGTTTAGCTGTGTCTTCGGTGACAACCGAGGTTGTGGGGAAGGCCCCTGAGGGCAGCCACTGCCCAACCAGCCTGAGCCCTGAGGAAAGGGGGCTGCTGGGACCCCTGACCTCACTCATCTCCAGGGGTGCACGAGCCTCCCACAGATGCCTTGGTCTACACTGCTGGGGGCCTGCCCAATCTCGACCCCATCTCTCTAACTGGGCTATACAGAAAGAGGGGTCACCACTGCTAAGTTTTCTCTAGAGTATCTTATAAGCCAGAACTGTGAGACATTTTCAAGCCAAAAACATATGGCTCAGGAGACTGTGATTTGGGGTAAAAAGTGTTCACTGTTTGCTGCTAGTAAAGACTGATGGCCCCTTTCTTCTGTGGCCGCCTGTGCTGCATGAGGTGAGGATGCATCTGAGGGCAGATGTGCTCAGCTTGGCACCTCAGGACAGTGTCCTTGGAGGCAGACTAAAGACCATTCAAGGACCATTTGAACAGCTAAACAGCCCCTTCAGCAAAAGCCTGATGGCCGCCTTGTCGCTTCCTGTGGAATGTTCCACACTGTGGATTACTGAAGGCTGTTTTCTTTAGCATCAGCCTAGACATGGCAGTGACCCACTTTTGTGTAGCCAGGTGCTGAAACACAGCTGCCAGGAAGCCGCGGGCAGTTGCTCCAGCTGTCCAGGGAGGGTGAGCACTGGAGGGGCTGCTCGTGGCACGGCCCAGCCCCCGGCGTCATTTCCCGGGTCAATGTGCGGGTTCACTCCAGGGGCTGCTGCTGCACGGTGCAGATGGTCCAGGACGACCCAGCTCCAGGCTTTTTGTTTCTGTTTCTGGGGAGTCATTGTTATAGCATTAAACGGTACCAAAGCCCTTCTTTTATAAATGTAGCAATAGATGTAAGTGGTAGATCTTGACATTCCTCATGGGATTAAGTGCCAAGATTTACAAAGAATGATTTTTGGTTTTGTGGGTGGGTGGACAATTAGCTCCTTAATAGAATAGGTGGCTTTCCCCTGTTTCCTGGACAGAAGTTGAGCTGTACCTGCAGTTGGTGCATTTGTTCTGGAAGGAGACAGAAGGGAACGTCTGAGTCATTGCTCATTAGAAGGCCCAGAGCCATCAGGCTGGTGTCTTTGCTTTGCAGGCACAAGGCAGAGGGATCAGTGTCACTTCTGAGCTATCACGCTGGTGTTTCAATTAACTAACTCAAGGCTTGGTTGGGTAGATAGTAACATATTCTGCCCTTATCTGGGAGAATACTGGTCTGCATTCTTTGCAAAGCCTTTGTTATTTCCTCTAATTTATTACTGTCATATCTGTGAGTCCTAAAAAAATCTTCCATTTGCAATTAGAACATCCAAATAAAAATCCATGTTGACTGCTAATAAGGACCTTCACCTTGGTTTTACCAAGACGTTCATTTTTCTCCCCCAGTAAACTTTGAAGCCTGATTTTCAAAGCTAAAAATCTGTTCCTAATGCTTGTAGTAAACAGGCCAATGCACAGTTATTGCTTATTTATTACTATTTAACACTGATTAACTTTCTGACAGGCACTATTGTAAGCGCTTAAAGCAGTTAACCCATTTATTCTGATAACTCATTGCTCAGACAGATTCTCCTTTCCCAGGACATCTCCTTTAATGGAAAAGTGATTACCAGTTAAATGGTAAAAGGTAGAAGACAATATAACTTTTAAAAAGACAGAGAGTCCAAGGCAGACAGGTTGTACTGTGGTTTATGTGAACCGTCCTCCTGGACTTGGAAAGTTCCTGCAGCCAGGCAGAGTGGCTGGGCCCTTCCTCCATCAGCCCCCTTATCCGAATTATCTGCAGTTAAGCACCCACTAACTGCAGGGCTGATTCTCACAGTCCTGAGAGGGGGACAGACGTGTGCATATCCTTCAGTAAAATGACATTGTATCTTAATTACCTGGAGTGACTATTTATGAGCCCCTCCTCAGCTGCATGATACTCTCCTAGGGAATTCCTGGCGTTTTTCCTGTGAAAGGATGGAGAGCAGAGCCTTTGATCTCCACAATTCACTGTTTGTGTCAGCTTTAACAGTTGCATTTTCCTATTTGGGTTGAAAATCAGTTAGCTTTAACCATTGCATTGACCTATTTGGGTTGAAGATAAATCCATAAGCATTGAGCTTACCCCCAAAAGGAGTGGATTATTTGTCTTTGATCTCTTGAAGAGGGTTAGCACTCAGAAACATCGTTGCAGTAGATCTCCCCTCAGCAGCAGAGGAGGATTCAGTCAGGACATTTTCAAGTTTTCCTCCTTTGTGCTGATGGGCACCGCCTTTCCCATGGTGTCTGCTGAGCCCACTGGGCATCTGTGGGCCCTGAGCCCGCACGGCCAGGTTCCCTGCTAGGCACAGGCAGTAGAGTGACACAGAAACGAGTGCCTGCCCTCAGGGAGCCACTTCAGCCCAGCCTTGTGAGCGCTGTGCCCACTCGCAGGCCTACGCGTCCTGCCCCTCTAGGAGTCAGAGGTCAGAATGAGCAGCTCGAGACTCCACTGGACCTTCAGAAGAGACGCCGCGAAGGGGCGAGTTGTGAACCTTCTGAAGATCCCTTACTTGCCTTTGGGGCTGGGCTTGCTGCAAGTTGGATGTCTGGTTTTCCTGCTGGGTTCCTGAAGTTGCCCTGGGAAGAGCTTTGGCCCCTGGCATCCTGCACTGTGTGTGTGCGCGCATGCACACACACACACACACACACACACACACACACACACACACACACACACACACACACACACACACGTGGGATGTCCAGGCTCAAGTGAAGACAGCATCTGAACATGGTTTTGGAAATGTCTCTAGGGCTGGCACCTGCAGTGCATGAAAACAGTCCTCACACTGGAGAAGGAATCAGCAGGCTCCATTATCTATATGTAACAATTTCCAGATTCATTGTATGTTATGTTGGTACTGGTATTTTCAGAGCAGTTTAAATAAAGATGACACGCGCCAGTATGTAGCTGTTTTACGTACTGGAAATAAAGGCGCCTGCAATTGTCCTGTTGTTTAGCTGCTGCCTGGTGCAGACGGTGCTGGATTGGGGGAGCCTGTTTTGCTCGCCGCTGATTGCAGTCACCAAAGATGTGCTCAGAGAGATCTCAAGGATGTAGACAAATACATAATGTTTGTGCATGACCAACACTCGTTAAAATTTCTTGCATCTAATGGACAGATGTGGGGGGAAATGTTTGGTTGTACTAAAATGCTTTGTTTTCACATTTGGGGAAGATTCTGGCATCTGACAACCCATCACTTTTGGATGGGGTGGTGTTGCAAATTGGTATTCAGATCACATTCTGTTGTCACTATTCTGCAAAGAGCCTAAGACTGAAAATGCCCTTAAGTCTTCCCAGAAAAGAGAGCTGGGTGGTGGGGGGTGGGGGAGGCAGGGCCCTTCTTAGCAGGTTTCTCTCTGTGGGGCCGAACATCAGCCCTTGGGGCACTTGGCCTAGTGGCTGCCGGCCTGGCTGGGAGAAGAGTGGGCAGGGAGCCACTCTGGCTGCCGGCTGCCTCCTGAGCGGGAGCCCTGGCTCGTCCAGGGCCTCCCCAGATGTAGGGAATGTCTTCCCCCAGTGCCAACGCCAGATCGTTACCTTTCTGACTTAGAGGTGCAAAGCCTGCGCTCCAAGTGGGCCGGGGCCAGCGGCCGGGGCCCCTGCAGGCTGAGAGGGAGCTGGAAGAGTGGACAGCAGTAGCCCCTGGATCCCGTGCATGTGAGTTTTCTGAGCTCCTCACCCACATCACCTCTTATGATCTTCATGTAATGACCCTTCAAGTTCAGCAGGGTAGCAGCTGGTCTTCCCATTTACAGAGGAGCTGAGCTGAGAAGCAGGGGTGGCCTGGGGCCCTGGGCTGCTTTCCCTCCTGGAGCTGCCCCCGCGCCATGCCACTGCACACAGGTACCACCCTGAGTTGTCACAAAGATTTACCAAGTCTGGTTGTTCATTCACAGGGGAGCCATCAGCATTGCCTCTTCTGTTTCCCTGTGGAACCCTCAAGAGAGAAGTCCTGCCGAAAATGCTCAAGGACAAAGGTGACTAGAATTTGTTGACTACATCACTGGCCTCTTTGGGCTCTGAGCTTTTGCGGTGAAGGAAGTGGGTAGCCGTGCAGAGCTCACACGAGCAGCCTGGGTTGGAGAGGCCAGGCCAAGGGGCCGCAGGGACGTTCCTCACGTCGAGCACGGCGTGCGGTCTGCACTTGCCTTGCTTGCATCTGCTCTTCTCAGCCTGTTTGGCTGCCTTCACCTGGAGGATGAGGGGACAGAAGGAGGTGTGGAGGTGGCCCTGGGGCAGATAACTGAGGTGACGAACCATAGACTTGGTTCCACATGTAGAAGGGAGTCTACGGATGGAGCTGACCTTACAATAGTGTGCGGCATCCTCCCGCTCCATCGGCTGCAGCTCCAGGACCATCAGCCTGTGCCTCTGCAGCACGCCACCATCGTTGACTCAGGTGTCTTAGGGGTCGCCTACACTCCTTTTCCCGTCACACAGTTGTTCTGGGAGCAAGGCTTATCAGCGATATAGAGTATCAACTTTAGGGTAAGAGTAGAAGAGATTTGAATTCTCCCTCTGCTGTGTATTAGCCGTGTGAACTAGTAAGCGACACCGTCAGTAGCCTCGTCTGTAAAACGTATGACCACAGGACCAAGCTCCCAGCTGCTCTGAGAGCGTGTAGCATGATGCCCTGCTCTCCAAGAGCAAGCACGTCATAGAACTGTGACTGTTACCTCCAACAGCAATCCCCATGAACAGTGTGACCCAGGGTGATCTCAGACCTTGTAACTCTCCCCTTTCCCCCATCAGATTAAAATCTATCTCTTCTACCCAGATTGTCATCTATCTTCTAAATGCTACCAGGAATAAAGGCAGAGGACATTAGTTAATAAGATCAGCAAAATCATTAGCCTTTCTGGCACAGGAAACCACCAGGAGAAAATAAGAGCAAGCTTGGTCCCAGGTATCCTTAAATCATATACAAATCAGCGGTTCGATACTTCAGTTTATTTCTTTAGGTTTTGGGGTATGAAATAGTGATAAATTTTTGTTTTATGCTGAAATTATCTGGATTTCTTCTGAGAGATTTTCTTTCCTATTCTATTCCATTTTCATAAGCCTGAAGTTTCACTACTCTTCAGTGTTTTTCACCTACTGCATGGCTGCCCTAGCAAATCTGCAATGACGTAAATGCGTGCTAGTCCCGTCCCTACCTCCCCTCTCGTCACCAGCCCTGAAAACCCCTGGGAATGTTTAGCATCACTGAATGGTGTGGGAAGGACCCTGGGAAGGTCCAGAGCCTGATCATTTCATCGACACTTGGGCACCCCGAGGCCCAGAGAGGGGACAGAGCTGGCAGCAGCTGGGCCTCCAGACTCCCGGCCTCTTAAGAGCTGCTCTTGGATCTTGCTTCCTGGCATTGTGAATCCTGTCTCTGTGGGATTCATGGAGTGACCAGGGACCGTCCCTGTGGACAAACCCGCACAAACATGGGAACAAAAGGCATTCATGGATACGAAAGAAGGCCATGGTTCCTGGTGCTTTGTCCTTCCTCAGCCATCTCAGCCGCCTCTGTCGTGGGAGCCGCTCTGCAGTGTTCAGCAGTTTGCGGGGGGCCGTCCAAGACCCTTGCTCTGAGTGTGGCCTCCCAGTTTCTGAGCAGCTGGTTCCAGAACAGTTGTGCTGCTCTGGGAGGTCTCCCCCAGCTGCACTCTGCGGTGGCGGGGGCCCCATTGCATTCCCAGTGCGGTAACATCTTTCCTGGTTTCGATTGTGCCCAGGGATTCCCATGGAAAGCATCACTGTCTATCAGACGATTCCGCACCCAGCAATCCAGGTGAACCTGAGCAGCTACTATTCCACGCAGGTACGTGGTGTTTCCAGGGAGCGCTCTGGCAGGGCGGGCAGGTGGTGGAGGGACAGGGCAAGGGCATGAGCTCCCAGGCATCGGTGCTACTCATGGTTCCACTGTCTCCAGCATGTGGCTGTGAGGACATGGCCCTTCTGAGGTGCCATTTCTGTCTCAGTGAAATGGGAATAGACCTATCTGGTAAGTTTTTATACAGATTAAAGGAGATCATTTATGCAAAGCTCTTTGTATGGCATCCAGGATACACACAAGCCTGAGGTAAATAGTGGCCTTGGTGTTACCATTGTCGTCCATCCCGTGGGGGCACCGGCGGGGCCGTAGGCAGGGGCTGGGCCCATAGTGGGAGGAGCCCACAGTGCCCACTGGAGGGTCTGGACTGGATCAGGGAGTCCGTGGGGGACCCTTGGAGGCCCCAGTCAGGAGAATGGACAGCTCTTGCTTGAGTTGCTGTTGTCTTCAACATTTACATTCAGTTAAGACACCTCACCTGCCTTTCCACTCCCAGGACAGGCCTCTGAACACCTTGCCTGAAACTGGGACAAAGCAAATGCAGAAAGGCCCCGCAGGATGCCCTGTCTGCTCCACGTCTGGGGGGACGGAGAGTTGACAGGAGCCGGCAGGCTGCTGCCTCACGCGATCAGTGCCCTTTGACCACAGGAGCTAGAGGCACCGTCCAGTCTGCCAGGCACCGGGCTGCATGGCGCCCATGTCCTCTGGCCAGGCAGACGCAGACCTGGGAGCCAGCGTGGCAACCAAGGAGCAGCGCCAGCCTTCTGGTCGCAGCCTGCTCCTTTCAGCGGTTCCTTGCCGAATTCTGCCTTGTTGGAGCAGAAAACACCAGCATCAACCAGGAACCGCTCCTGTCGTAAAGCCACCTGGGCTGCCTGTGGCTTGAGGAGTTGATGCCGACGAAGCTAGAGGAATGTTCTGTCTCCTCAGCATCATGGCAAGGGGCCGGTCTTGCTCTCTCTTCCCTGCAGGGGGTTCCAGCCAGCATCACATTTTTCAGTCCTTCTGGAGTTACGTACAGTCTCAAGCATATTCAAGAGTTATCTGGTGACAGCATGGATCAAATTAAGGTAAGGTAGTGAGTGGGTTTTTGTGTCACCTCATTTAATCCCATAGCAGCCCGGTGAAGGGTCCAGGTTCCCTTTCTGTGTTACGGATAAGGAGATGGAGGCCATTGTCCTGTGGGGCTGGGATTTGAACCCTGACACTCTGGCCCCAGAGCCCTTGTCTGCTTTCCTGAGGGATCCAGGCACCCCCTGCCACACCCTGCTCCCGTGGACCCCACCCAGAGCCCCTTGAAACCCAAAGCAGAACTGTCTGCAGCTGGAGTCTGAGGAAGGGCTGTGCAGATGCAGCCACGATGGCGGGCACCGATCTGGGGCCCGCATGTCCCTGCTCCTCACCTGAGCCCTAGGAATGGTGTGCTCTCACTCAGGGCGGCAGCGAGGCTGTGATAAGATCGTGGATACGGAGGTATTCTGCAGATTGTGAAGCCGGCCGAGTCAGGCGGCGCTGTCATTTATGTAAACACATCACGTGAGGACTGAGGCCCCACAGAAAGGCCAGCTGACAGCCCCGCACACATCCAGCGCCTGCCTCCCCAGCACTGCTGGTGGCTGAGGCTCTGTTCTCTCTTCCTCTTTACAGCTTGCAGCCATTGGCCCCACCACAGCTCGGGCGCTGGCCGCCCACGGCCTGCCTGTGAGCTGCACTGCGGAGAGCCCCACGCCAGGGGCCCTGGCTGCTGTCGTCAGAAAGGCCCTGCAGCCCCGAGGCTGCTGCTGAATCAGCCGCCCTGCAGCCGCCCCGCAGCCGCCCGGCAGCCTTGCCCCGGGCAGCTGGGCTCGGGCTGGGCTGGGCTCCTCCCTGTGGGGCCCCTCAGCTTGCTGCTGCCTCCTCGTGGGCCAGGCGTTGGACAAGGGCTCTTCGGAGCTGCCACCATCAAACTCCTGCCTCAAGCCTGAGTGGAACCAGCTGGGGACCAGGGGCCAGGGCCTGGCCTGGGGCTGGCATCAGGCCTGCATGCATGTGACTGCCCTCCACAGAAGCCAGTTTGGACCCTAACCCAGACACACGCCAGCCCAGGCCCTGCGAGAGCTTTCTGTGCCCAGCAGGAAGGAGATCAAATAAACCGCGCTGGCCACTTGTGTTCATCGAATGTGTTTGTTACTTACCGTGTGTCATTTTCAGTGCAGAGCTGTGTTCAAGGAGGAAACAGATATGCCCACCTCTGGTGACCGACCAACCTGGTATGAATGATAAAAGTTCTATGTATGAAGCTGGTTTATTCATGCTATATAAAGGACCCTGGAGTTCCTGCTTGTGAGCTATGGACAATTGTAATTCAAATACAGAGAGACTTGATTTCCTTCAAAAGTACACTGCTGCACTGGACAGCCAGACCATCTTATCCTCTGGGTGTCGGAGGTGCTGGGAGGGTGATATCTACTTAGAAGAGGTTCATCTGCAAATGCACTGCCCTGCAGAAAGGCTTTGCAAATCTGTCCCCAAGCTGTAGTCCCACTTTTTAAATCTTGGCCTGGAATTTAAGCTGGGTTGAATGAAAGTTGGCTTTGCCTTTTAACAGCATGTGGGCTAGTGGTGGGGAAGGTCACTGTGCCACCCACCCCTCCGTCTCCTTGGCAGGTCAGGCTGGGAGGCATTTTATGTACAGCAGCTACCGTGGGCTGCAGCTCTGTGTGTGGCACTTTCCGTGTCTGAGCGCCATTCCTTGTAACCCCGGGGGGTGGACATGACTATTGTTCCCATTTTTCTGGTGAAGAAATAGGTTTAAGAGGTAAAGTGACTTCCCAGGGTCACATAGCTAGTGAGTGACAGAACCAGGACAGAATTAAACTGGATCACGGCAATGGTTGCATGGAGCAGCCACTCATCCCAGGGGCTTAAGTAGAATAAGTAAAGACACAGCACTGGGTCTGACCTGGTCGCCGCCGGCCCCCAGGTGCAGGCCATGGGATTTGCCATCCTACCCACAGGCTTAACTTCTCACACTTGAGTGCGTTAGGAGAAGTGGCAGGATCCCTGTCTTACTTCACCTGTGTGGGAAATTGCTCTCCCCCCACCCCACTCCAGAGAAGCTGAAACCCATTTTGAAAAGAGCTCAAGTCAATTATCCTGACCGACAGCCTCCTTGTCAGCACCCCCAGAATCTTCACACAGCTCAGCTGTCCCAGGGTCTTAGAGGCCCACCTCACTGTCCCCAAGTCACCAGCAATGACAGGGAGCACCCTGAGAGCCCCCAGCTCAGGCAAGAGGAGGTCAGTCCAGCCCGTCCTGTGCAGGAGCACGAGGCGGAGGCTCGCTCGGGCAGCCTGCCCCGCAGTCTTCAGTCTACAGGGCCCAGGACAGAGCAGGGCCCAGCCAAGGTGCCGATTTACATACCAGGTGGGAAGCTCAGCAAGGTCCGGTGACAGCCCAGCAGCACTGACACGCAGCCCCAGGCAGAGAACATTCTACCTATGAGCTCACAAACCCAAGCCAGAAGGAAAAAAAATAAGGTTCTAACTCTGCTGCCTTTTGCCTTTTCAAAGCTCTTCCTGCCCTCACCCAGCTGTGGGCACAGCAGCCAGGAAGGACCTGCTCAGGCAGAGAGCCCAGGTATCCCATCTGAGGAGGGTCAGTCCCTTTGCCCATGTGACTCACTGGAACGCCTTGGACACTCTGCAGTAGAGGCACAGCAGGACGGCTACCAGCAAGAGCACCATCAGGACACCGCCACCGATGAGGAAGAGAATTTTCACCTTGAGGTCAAAAGCCTTCGCTGTGCCTAGGCAGAGACGTGCAGGCCAGCAGTGAACGTGGCCTCCGTCCCCACACAGCCAGGAGGTGACCTGGATGTGCACCCTTCCGTGGAGGAAGGACGGACCCAGACACAGATCCTTACGTGTGTAAACACCAGTGAGTCTCCCCAGGGGGCCTAGACTCCTGAGCTGGCCAGAAGCGGGGAAGGAGGTTTACCTGTGGATGAAAAGGGCCGACAGTGCAAAGTGCAGAGAGAAGCAGAAGGACAGACGCTGGGAAGGGTCCTCCCTCTCGCAGGCAGGGATGCGCAGCTGTAACGGGCTGCGCTGGGGCTAATGGTCTTACACCCCACACCTGGGCATCCCAACCGCCTTCACCTTCAGAGTCAGAACTGACCCCTCGCTGGACCTCAGCCTTAAAGATCTATGGGAATGGCTGTTTCCAATTGCTATTGTCAGACGATGCTGAGAACATGCAAATCCATTTTGTAAATGATGCCTGTTTTAGGAAAAAAATTTTCAGTTCTCCCACTGACAATTAGGTCATGCATCTCATGGCTTGAGATTCTGGAAGCTTCCAGCCAAACCCTTGCCCAGGCTCAGAGATGGGAGGTGGCGGCTCAGGCTGGGAACAGCTTGCCCAGGAGCCCCTGGTCCCCCATTGTAGACATCGTACTCACAGGCCACACGCCTTCCTCTGACATCTTCCCTCCTAATCCCAACTGATTTTGGGCAATCCAGTTCCCCTGGAATGAGCAGGCACTCTGAGCCTTGGCGGCTAGTACCTCCAAAGCTTGGTAATGATCAAGGAACAGAGCGCGCCCAGAGAAGAGCGAACAGTCCAAGTGGTAAGCACACTTCCCCAAGTCCCACCATCCCACGCTGCACGAGGCCAACTGCACAGCAGAGTTCAAGAAAATAATTTAGGGAACAAGACCCTTCAGTCATGAATTCCTCAAGCCTATGATCCCTGTCTCAGTCCGCGTGCTGCTATAACTAAACACCCAAGAATATTTATAAGTAGTGATTTATAAACAATAGAAATTTATTTCCTCACAGTTCTGGAGGCTGGGGAGTGCAAGATCAAGGTTGGGCATCTGACGAGGGCCTGGTCTCTGCCTCCAGGATGACACCTTGAACACTGCGTCCTCACGTGGCCGAAGGGACCCGAGGGCAAAGGGCTGAGTGCTCGCTGAGGCCTCTTTTATTAGGGCATTAATCCACGCATGGCGGCAGAGCCCTGAGGACTCAGTCACCTCCTCAAGGCCCCATCTCTTACTGTTGCACTGGGGGTTAAGTTTCGACACGAATTCTTAAGGGACACAAACATTCAAACCACAACAGTCCCTAAGAGGGATCCTCTTACCCCATCAGGGAGAGCTGTCATGCAGGTTTTTAGATCTAACTTTCAGAAGCAGTTTTTGACTAGAGCTAGCAGAGCGGAGAGACTAGAGAACGCCTGGCTCCATCTTTTATGCCGGTCAGAGCACAGGCTGCAGTTCAGGGGCTGCCGGGGCCGGGCGAGGCCAGGCCATGGGCAGCTCACAGGGAGCACAGCTGAGAAGCTTCAGACCAGCGTCAGGAGCGCAGAGGCCAGAGCAGCGCATCAGTCATCCACTCGGACCCCAGTCAGCTGGGACTGTGGAGGGACCTGGAGGTGGGAGGACGTCCTGCCGCTGGACCTGCACAGCCTCCAGGGCGAGGGTGAAGGGCCACCTGTGGCCTCTGCGGGAGGCAAGTCTCAGGGAGTGGGGAGAGTGTTAACGATCCAACTCGGGACAGACTCAGCCTCTGGGGGCTTGTATTAGCCACCGCTGTCTAACTGCTGCACCTACCTAGCCCCAGGCTCAGGCTCAATGCAGTAAAGGTTTATTCCTGGCTCATTTCACAGATCGATCAAGCGTTTGAGGGTGGCATTCCACACGGTCACTCAGGGACCCAGGCTACTTCTTGCTAGATGTTCTGCAGCTGGCAGGAGTTGAGGGGAGAGAAATCATGGAGGATCAGAGGGAGGTCTTAGAGTTCAGGCCTGAAAATGGTGTACATCGCTCTGGCCACGTTGCTGTGGTCAGTCCCACGGACAGCTATGGCCCGCTCAGTCTGCACTGTCTGGAGGCCATCAGCTTGGGTCTGCTCAAAAGCCCAGGGGGGAAGGCTCTATCTTCAGGATCCCAGAAAGACTTGGAAACCAAGCGAGACAGGGTGGGCTGAGGTATGTCCTAGAACTCAAGTGATTCTAGTTTATCCTTATACAAAATCTCTGACCCATAAGGAATGGACACCGTGCAGTCATTAATTACAATGATAAATACACTCAGAAACACAAACAGTGCCCGTGACATTCTGTTGAGTTGTAAGTAATAGAATAGAGAAGATATGGTTTATGTGAAATTACATACATACACGATTCTCTACGCGTGTACACATCTGTATCTGCAAGAACGTTCACAGAAATGTTACAGAGCAGAGAGCCTGGCCCTAACGTCCCTGTGTGGCTGGCCAGACTCTCTGCAAGGTGATGAGCCCCTCTTTTATAATAAGGCAACATCCACAGAAGGGGTCAATCTGCATTGTCCCGAAGGTGTTACCCCAGAGCAAGGTTTGAGCCACCATTTTAAATCATATAATTTCCCCTTTATCTTCTGTACTTTTAAAATTTATAATATTGACTGATTAGGTATTCTTTTTATAAAGAAAAAAAAATAAAAACAAGATAACAAAATCTGAGCAACAAACTAAAAATCTCCAAACCCCAGTTCACCAAGAAAAAGAAAATTGACCCAAACTATGAGCAAACTAATGTTCATGGCTTTTAGCTCGGGCCCGGTTCCAAGGTGCAGGTTGTCAGGGGCGAGGTTTTGTGCCTCCACTAACGGAGCCAGTGGAAATCCGTAGCAATTCCAGGGCTCACGTGGGCAGCAAACTCACCCACGCGCCCATCTCCATGGAAATGGATTCCGCAGGCGTTTGCAACTTTGGGATGCAATTCCCCGAGGGTTGTGCAAACACAAGGGGTGAAAGGAGAGGAGTTCTCACACCCACGAGAAAGGTGGTCCTGGGGTCTTCAAAGGCAGCACCGGGGCCTGCTGTGTGGCTTCCTAGTGGGCACACTTCAGGGCTGGGTGAGAAACACTTAAAAAGCTGGCCCCGGCCCTGCTCCTACGGAGGGAGACGGGGACGAAGCCAGGCAGGGAGCGCAGGAGTTCCCATCCCACCATGCTCGCTGCCTCCATCTTCCGTCCGACTCTGCTGCTTTGCTGGTTTGCTGGCCCCAGGCCTGCCCAGCCCGAGACCCTCTTCCACAGCCGGGACCACTCGGACCTGGAGCCATCCCCCCTGCGCCAGGCCAAGCCCATCGCAG